CACCACCACCACCACCACCACCACCACCACCACCACCACCATCACCACCACCACCACCACCATCACCACCACCACCACCACCACTGACTTCAAATTGCCTTGCCGCAGTCTCCAACTTGTCTGCACATGCCACAACAACCGTGTCCACAATTTTGCCCTCCTCCTAGTGTCGCCACCTTGAGTTCTCATAAGGTGGGAGGTGTGCTCACGTAGTCAGCAGGTGGAAATTGCAGCTGTTTCGGTGAACAGCACCATTGCTTTAATTCACTCCGATATCTCTGCAGTTTGCTTCATCGGAAGCATTAACAGTTGAAGTGTTACCTTCCTCTTGCAAAGTGCTAGCAATCACTCCTGGCCTACGAGAAGAAGCGTTGGGGAGGGAGGAGGTGCATTCACCTCTTCACCCGTCACGACATTCAAATCGCCTCCTGACGTCAGAGCTGCCCGTCTCCAAGCCAATGCAATGCTAATGCTCACACAACTTGCATTCGACAATGCCCATCCTCCGACAATCGGATGATCAGTGCACTCGCTTTCCACGTAATTGTAGGTTCACTCACACCAATGCATCAGGAAGATGACTGGTGTGCACAACTTGGCAAAGACAGAATCTGCGTCTTAGTGAGCGGTGAAGGGTGCGTGAGAGAGCACGCGATTACGTTTTGTCTCAATGACGTAGGGTGAAGAGGTCAGGACTGAGTTTAGGTTGCGGGATTAAAGCCGTATCGCTTGACCGCCCTCTCACTACATGAGTTTGGCTGTCTGCTAAAAGGGTGCCTCCAGTAATGCACCAAAGCTGAGTCCTCGTCTCGTCCTGCCTTGCTTTTGCCATTACGATACCACATGAAGTGTCACACGTTGACGCTATCGCATGTCCTCTCCTGTGCACTCTCCCGAGAGCACATGAAGTGCAATCGCAAGAACAGATGTTACGGCGACGAGCTATGGAAGACGGTCGTGCGTTCGTCGCTTTGTCACAGTGGTCTCATGGTGGCACGCCACGCAAATCCGCGTCACTTACCCCCGAGTAGCCTCAAAACAACGGCGATGTAGGGAGAAAGCATCAGGCCAAGCTCTGTGGCTCTGCTAACAAAAGGATCTTGCTGATCGCAGTTGAAAAGAGAAGAACAGGTGAGTTTGGCAGAGTTGAGGTGTCGAGCGTAGGGGAGGCGAGGTGGGTCGAGGCGTGGTATGGCATGGCATGACGAAAGCCATTGGTTTATGAAGTGGGAGAAGGCGATGTTGATGGTTGCGAAGTGAACGGATGCGCTACGAATTGGACTTCATGGGCACCACTCAAGGAATTTCATCAGCTCACATGACATCACATTTCCACCCATCCTCATGCCTAGCCCTCCCTCAATTCCTCGTCTACCACACAATTTACTGTCCATTTACATTGGCTTGTGCGCACTGATTGAGGAGGACCATGCGCGTAGTGCTCCCATAATTAGCCCCTTCGAATGCACCAAAGAGGCGGCGTTTCGGGCGCTGAGTCGTCCGGTTGGCCCAGAACGACGTCTATGTACGCAAATCAGCTACTTCACACGCAGGTTTGAGTTCACAACATTTGTTCGCCTCTACCATTTATTCTGTCCACCCCCAAGATTGGTTAGGATCAGCAAACCTGTAATTCTACCTGACTACAGAGTGCACACGATGCTGCGGCGGAAACCGCTGGTGCTCTACAATTCGCCTCCTACCACCAGCAATGCTGCCTGCATGAGCACACATTGATTGCCGTTGGCGTGTTGGACCTGGTTCCAGGTTGCCTCTCCTCTGTCTACTTCTTCCACCCCTCGCCCCCAGATTACGCCTTCCTCAGTCTGGACTTTACGTCTTATTTCGTCATGCCAGCATGTGTTCAGGCTTAACACAGACTGACAAAGGAGCGAGATTTGATTGGTCGATTGGTGGTTTAAAGGTTAAAAGGATGAAAACACCCTCGTGTGGTTGGCGAGAAAGTGTGAATGTTGTTATTCTTGTATGCAATGACTTACACGCAATGAAGCACCTCTACTCTGCGAATGCCCTTGGTATTGTCTCGCCATTGTTTGCGCAGTTTATTTATCACAGTTTCTGCCTGCTTGCAATGGGGACAAGCACTCGAAACCACCTAGTTTTGCCCTTACAATGTTTGGAGAGTCCTATACTGGCAAGCTTGAAGTGCTACCTTCACAAAGGCACAAAGTACTGCCAATGGGGGGATCACAGTCAGAGGAAAAGTTGTTGCTTAAACGTCCCACTGACAGTAGCAATAGGTGGCGGCAACCAACACGGGCATGCACCTTTCGCACCTCCCAATACCCAACGCGCCATTGAATGTGGTGCGCGCTTTTGCTTCATCACCAACAATGCGAATTTGCTCTCCACGTGGTTTACATTACCGCACATTTCATCATGCTGACCCACATTCAATCCACAAGCTGCCAGTTTGCGCGATGAGGCTGAGCCCAAAAGTTACCCCGAGCTACGATTTGCATTGACACAACGGTACAGGATGTAAATAATCAATGTGGAGTTAACTCTCT